AAATTCAATTGTGTTAGTTCGTGAAATAAAAAAAGCGCGTCAAAATACGCGCTGTTGTCGTTAAGGACTTTTTGTGTGGTAAAGAATACAAAATTGCTTGACAACCAATACGCTCTCGTTTTGACGCGCTACTGTGATTTCACGAACTAACACAATCTACTTTGATTGTGTTAGTTCGTGATGTGAGCGACGCTTTGTGCCACATGCTATACTAGTACTGAAACAAATATATTATTAGTAATAATCTTAATTCAAATTTTCATAGTGTAGTTTTTATTTGTCATTGCTTGATATTTATCGTAACAACTAACATCGATTTTCCACCGACAATCGTCATAGTTGGCATAAGGTCCTGGGTAGTTCTCGGATTGAAGTGAATCGAAGTACCAATTAGTTGGCCTTTGACCCGGAGGTCCACATCCACCAATTGCTGAAAGTAACAAAAAAATTGTGTTGCAGTAATGCTATACAGTAACACATATGTATAGCAGCGATGAGTGAAAAAAAAGGAACATTTATTGGTATAGAGATAAATGAAGATGACTAAATTTGACATTTTCGGTCAATCAGACCTAACAAGTGACCAACCAGAATAGGCCATTAATACAAGTTTGTTCCACAAACAAACGCGTTGTTCCACAAACGCTGCGTGTTTGCGTATGTACAAGCCGTTATTTTGTTATACACAAGCGCCGGGGCTTATATGGGAAGGTCTATTTCTAATTTAACATATAAACTTCGATTGGTCTTACCTGGAACGTGAATTGCCCCTGAAATATATATATAAAAAAAATTAATGACAGAATATAATGAACTTGGTATAATACATATACTTTTAATACTATTATACCATTATTATTTTTATTTTTCATTTTTTTTAATTATTAAGTTTGTTAGTGTGTTTTCGCGTGAGTGTGTGTTCAAAATATCTCAAAAACCGTTGTACAGATATAAATGAAATTTACAGGAACGGTAGGTATAACCCAAGGACGAGATGATTAAATGTTGGTGATGATCCGTAATCAGGTGTGGATTTGAGGACCGTTGAAACGTCAAAATATTGCTCTAGACCATAGGCAAATACAACTGATCTGGGGCGCCCCTACTGGGTCCGCCCCTGATGATGTAGGAATATCCAACTTATAAACGTAAGCGTTTTATACCTATATACTAACTTTACTTTTTTTGGAAACCAATTTGGAATATTTTTAATGCATCTTTATATTTAAATATGTGATGCTAAAAGCCTATACTTTTTTTCTAAAATAATTTGACTACTTGCATGATTTTTCCATTTCGACACCAATACTTGACAATCATGTACTTTAAAGTAAAACGTTCTAGTGTAATTAGTAAGAAGTAAGGAACTGAAAAGTACAGCTAAAACAATAACATCTCATAAAGAATGTTTACTACTACAGTACTATTACAATTAGGGATATTTTGCAACCTTACGAAAACGGTATAGAATACGAATACGTCACTTTCATTATCGTCATTTATGCCTAAAACATTATTATATAGTTCGTGAAATAAAAAAAGCGCGTCAAAATACGCTGTCGTTAAGGACTTTTTGTGTGGTAAAGAATACAAAATTGCTTGACAACCAATACGCGCTCGTTTTGACGCGCTACTGTGATTTCACGAACTAACACAATCTACTTTGATTGTGTTAGTTCGTGATGTGAGCGACGATATGATCTGAATGTGATCGTTGATTCATTTTAAAAGTCATGGATCGTTCATTGTTGTGACATATATGCTACTGTATATAATTAATTGACTAAAATGATGACGTAACAGTATTCGTTTTTGTAAGCTTGCAAAACCTCACTGTTACTATATATATTAGGTCTATTATGGATTTGCTAAAATCAAAAGTAAAATACGTTATAGTCTTACCATTAGAATTACTTGATTCTGAAATATGAAATAAAACATCATTTTATCTTATTTATATAAATAAAATATGTTGGTTTCTATAAACACACACACCCACCCCCCCTCCACACACACACACACACACACACACATACAC